ATTAATAATAATAATAATAATAGTACAATAAAATCGTATAAGAATTTTGGAAGTAATAAGTTTGAGTATAGGTGGTAAATAAGAAAAAGAAAAAGAAGAGAAATACGATAAAATGTTTTGATAAAAATTTAATACAGTTTAAATGTAAAATAAGATATGATAAAAAAGAAATAGCAGTTTGAAAAAAGCAATTAGACATTAACCCGGTGAAGGAACAATTAGCCGTGTTGACATCAATTAAATTGAAACACGTTGAAAATGCAAGGTCCCCGTTCAGAACGACATCCGAGCTCTTACTTTACCTCCTTCGCAGCAACCAACGTTGAAAGTTACGGAAGAGGTAACGGTCTGGGCCGAAGATCGTCGTCAACGACGACGTTTCGAAAGCCTTGTGTAGCCTCGGTTAAGTTCAAGGTGTCCGAGAAAGGTGTCTCGGTCGTTTTCGAGACGTTGATACAAAAAAAAAACGCAAACAAAATTTATTGAAAAGTATTATTCTTAAAATTTAATGTGCAAAAGACACGTTTCTATATTTATTATATTAGTTCTAACCGAATTCAGATCAATCGTGTCAGATATTTTTTTCTTAATGAACGTCATTATCTCATCATCATATATTTATATATATATAATATTTTATTTGAAGAAAACGGTAATTGGGAAATCAAACGACTTTCCCCGTACGTTTTCGTGAATCGGTTTGACCGATTTAATCCGGGGAATTCGGTCGTAACGAAAAGAAAGCAAACAAATATACCTACCGGTAAGTATTTTTATTCAAATTAAATAAAACCCATGTGTGTATATACGAAAATATATATTAACGTTTACACGTATGTAAGCATAAATATTGGAAAATCTAATAACTCATTGTCAGAGAATCAACACACACCGATTGAATTACTTTACTTGTGAAAATGAATCGTGACTTATGATACAATGTAAAAAGTATGTTTCTTTCTTAGTTTCGTGAACTTTATGACTTTACTCGAGTAATGAATATGAACGTGTGCATAGCAAAAATCGTTGAAAGGAACTCTCGGTAAAGGAGAAAACACGAATAAAGGTGCCTCGGTGTATTCATTCGTCTTCATTGTGAAATGACTAACAATTTGAAAAAATGAATTATTATACCGTTTCTCGTGATCCTATTCATATTTCATATATCACGTTTGATTTTCTTTCGGTTTATTTTTTCGTCGATTTTACTTACACGCGACCCAATGATTACAACTAACCAAGTAGGTTTATAAAACGAATGGAAGATTTCTCAAGAAACTCAAAACGAAATAATGAAACAACAGCAAGAGTTAGTAGTCAGCAGCAGCAGCAACACGGGAATCCGCGATCCGTGAAGATTCGCTGCGAATGAAAGTAACTATTTGCTACTTACTCACTCCTCTTGCTTTCGAAGTAATTCCAGTGTCTCTTTTTTCTCGTAAGTCCTTCCTTCCTTCGCACGATCCATCCATCCGGCGAAGAAGAATAAGAAGAATAAGAAGAAGAAGAAGAAAACGTAACGAGGCGTGACATTCACCTTTTTCATTTGGTGCCGCGTTCGTTGCACGCCAAGAAAACGACGACTCTTCCTACTCGATTCGATCGATATTCAGTACGACAACGTGGAAGAAGAAGAAGAAGAAGAAGAAGAAAAAGACGACCCTTTCCCTTTTCTAAAACGTTCACCGTTTCAAGAAAAACACGCTCCTGACCGTATTTGTCGTAATCGTGCTAAGCTCGGATGGATTATTCGGTCGAGTAAATTCCAAAGAAACTTGCAATGCTGTAATATCGTACTTTCGTTTTTCATATTCTCCAACGAGTAATATGATAATAATATATTATTATATTAGGATATATAACAATAGTATAATATTAATATTTTCCAAAATTTATTTTTCCATTTATATGCAATTTATAATACAACAAATTCACGAATTTTGTATTCACCCAATTGGATAAAACAAATCAAGAACGTTGATGTCGATCTATTTTTTATAATTTACCTCTTTTTGTATTTTTATACGAGATTTAATAAATACCCACCTATGTATGCATCTACGATGCGTAACCTAATAGAATCTGTCATAAATTTTCTTTCTATATACATTTCGTTAGAAAAGAAAGACAATTTCTCGGAAAGTCGATTAGTTTGAGCCAATAAATTGACCAGTTTGTTGTTTCGCATATATAAAAGGCTAACGACCGTTTCTCATAGTGCTATTCGTCGTGCTGTCCTAGAAAACGCTTACTAAGCCGCGCATACCTATCGTTCAAGTATAATAGTTTTTGTCCGTAACCTGAACACGGGTGGACTTTAATACGTCCGTGGAAAGAAATAAATAAAAGAAAGAAGATTGGGGGGAAAAAGGGGTGAAGGAGGAGGGGGTAAGAAAGAGAGAAAGAAAAAAAAAAAGAGGAGTAGAAGGAAGAATGAAAGAGAAAAAAAATGCGAGAGAGAGAGAGAGAGAGAGA